ATCTTATACTCACAGGCGCGTACGCAGGAATTTGGTCTGGGGGTGGGGGATAATAAATTTTTTTGAGAAATATTATTGTTTTTTAAAAATATCAAGCATAAATTTATTAGGACTAATAACTATTCCTAATACACAATTTTAAATTAATGTGAATTATAAAAAAATTATATGTAAAGAATCACTTAAATGACCCAAAATTGAATTTTTTGAGCCTTTACACAAAAAGTTTCTTAGGAATAATTGTATTTTGTATGTTAATTTACAATGTAAAATCCAATCTTCATTGGAATTGAGCTAATTTTTCAATTATGTCATCCTTGCTCCAAACCTTTCAATCTACTTTCACATGTTGTACTTCTTGGTATGTTTTTCAGAGACCTGCAGGCCCGGCTCCTGGGTTGGACAATATTTTAATTTTTTTAATTATACCAAGGCCGGGCCCAAAATTTTTTTTAAAAAACACCCGGACCGGACCTAAATTTTTTTTAAAAAACACCCGGACCGGACCTAAATTTTTTTAAAAAAACACCCAAGCCGGGCTGTATTTTTTAAAACAGCCTATATTTGAAATCGTTATTATTAGCTATAAAAATCAAAAATAAATATAATTTATTTTTAAAAAATCCAGGCCGGGCCTGAAAATTTTATTTTAAAAAAAGCCGGGCCGAGCCTGTAAATTTAAAAAAAAAGCCGAGCGGCCTAAAAAATTTTTTAAAAATACCGTAAAAATTCTTTAAAAAAAATCCGGGCCGTGCCCTGCAAATGGTACTTCTGCAGGCCTCTGTTATTCTTCTTAAAAAAGAGAGTGTTCTCTCATTAGTTTACTAATGGGAAGAGTATATAAACCCTTTTAATACATTGGAAATTTAATCTAAAATGTGTTTGAAATAATGCAGAGCATCCATAGCATTTTTTGGGACTATATCAACTATAGTTAATCTTATAAATATAGTTATTCAGCTAGTAAGGCATCATAAGATACTTTAACATCTTCATAATAAAAATCTAACAAATATTTTTTTTTCTATCACCATCTGAAAAAGGTTGGGAAGGCTTTTGTGGAAGTAATATTTGCAGATGTAAGTGCTGCATGATATATTAAAAATTCATTTATTTGGGTTATAAATGTATCTGCATCTAAGATAAACTCTTCTACTGATTCTATATTAATGTTTTAACGATGAGCTTGCCTTGCTGTCGAGGGAGACAAATATTAAACACGTATAGCTCTGCTTTTGACTCAACAATAAAATATAAAATATGAAATTCTTCATCAACATTAGCCCTAATTTCCTTGAGTTCGATAAAATGCTCTCCGCTATTCTCATCTTCTTAATCAAATCATTTGAAAAGTAATACTTAAAATAGTTGTATAATTAAATAATACATTCTAATGAGAAATAAAATTTGGAATAAGCATTGAATCCAATATTTTTCTTGCTTCCGAGAAAATATTTCTTTCAGGCCATTGTTATATTTCAGTAATAGCAAATAATTGGCTCTTCTAACTCCTTAATAGCTGTTAGTGCTTGCTGGAAGAGGCTCTATCTCGTTAGACAAGGTTGCAATTTCTTTTTCCCTGTTGGACCAGAAGTTTCAGAAATAAATATTATTTGACTAGAAATTTGAAAATGGTAGATAAATATTACGCCACTAAAAATTTGAAAATAATAAGTAAATATTACGCCGGAAAACTTGAAATCGAAATTAATTGATAAAATAACTTATGAATGTGATAATAAATGTAATATAATATATATTTAATATGAGATACGAATAAATATTAACAAATATAAATTAATATAAACAATGATATTTTTGAAAAATATATCCGGCATCTGCATTTTTTGGCTTTGGAGGGGGGCCCTTCCCCCCCCCCTTTACCACTGCGTACGCCAATGTATACTCATTTGGATTTGTACCTTGAAAATAATTTTAGGAAGAGACATGATAATTAAATTTAAGAATCAAATAATGTAGTTGATTAGTGATTTTGAACTCGGCTAATTCAATATTAAATTTGTTAATTTTCAATTAATAAATAATTATATTTATTTAATTAAGGTTATATAATAAAATAATTTAAATAATAAAAGTCAATTAAGCTTCAACTGTTAATGCTAAATTAATATTTATTGAGTGCTATTGATATCTTTTTAACACAGAATTTGATTGCAAGCTGACAGAGTGAACATATAATTTATATGTATTAATCTAATCTAATAATTAAAATAGTATTCTTTTAAAAATTTAGATAGTTTTATTAATTTTTAAACAATAAAATTAAATCTATATATTACTCAATAGAATTATAAAAGAAATCGTTCAGGGGGCAATTAAAAAAATTTATTTTTAGTTCAAGGGGATATTAAGGAGCAATTAAAAAAAAATTTTTGCTCAGGGGGCTATTCAAATTTTTCAGGGGGCTTGAGCTCCTGCCCCCCCCTAGCGACGCCACTGGGGATAAGGGTATGCATTAATTGGAAGAAGGGTATGCATTAATTGGGAGTAGGGTATAATTTTTTAGATTGCTAATATAATCCTAAAAGTTGCATAATTGATCTCAAATCATATTAGTGATCGAAAATCAAAATCCCATCTCTAAATGAGCTCGATTGCGGCATTTTCTAATGATGAAAGCTATTTCACTTCCCGATGATTTTGGTTAATAAACAACCTATTTTAAAATATTATCAACTAAAATAAAAGTTAAATCTTATAAAAATATAAACTCAATAAAAAATATTAATCATTTTACATTGGTTGTTCAAAAACGTGGGTGTTAAAACCAATATGATTAGAGTTCAGTGATTGTTCATCAACGTGGGTGCGAAAACATAATTAGATTTCATGGGTTTTTTCAACAACGATGTGGGAAAAAAGATACATATAGTTCAGTAGTTTTTCTTACCAACCGGTGTGAGCTGTGTAGAGTAGAAAATAAATAGATATCATGTTTTTCTTTATGAACTTAGCGTCCAAAGATGCATATAGTATGAGGAAATAAATGAGCGATTTAAAAAAAATATAATGATGATCAATAGCTAATGGATGACTACAGGCAGATGGTTCAATGGTAAAGGGGTGGTATAATTGGACATAATTTATTTAGTATATTTTGACTAAGTATTATAAATTTAAGATTTAATTAAGAGAAATTAAACAAATATTTCAGGAATTAAGAGAGAATTTAGGCAATTCAATAGATTATTTAGAGTAGATTAGATGCGATTACTTTGGGATAAAGAAACAATAGAATATATATCTCGGCAAGGGCAAACTGTTGTAGAAGACCTGGAAGTCTAAAAATCGACACAATTAAAAGAATTAGATGCAAAGAACCAATTAATTAGAGAAAGTTAGAAGCAAGCTACTAGCTAGAACAAACGATTGAGACTTTCATGCTGCTATCGTTAATCGTTACCAATGATTTAATTACCAAGATAGCGTTAACTTTAAAAGAATGTTAAAACAAGCGACACTTTAAACTAAATAAGTTGGTACAAAAAAGAATAGAATTAATTGCAATTAAGCGTTTCGTTAGAAGCTAAGAATATGAGATAATGGACAGCAATAGTTAAAACCTAGAGGGTACAAAAGAATAACCTAGGATGTGATTAAAATAAGTCTCTGGATAAAGAAGAGTAGCTTTAGTGGAGATACAAGATCAGTAAAACAGAAATCGAAAGGGAAGTTGGTCGTTTGCAGAATGGTTGGTCTAATTTAAAAGGGCGTTGTAATATTCAGATGAATACTTTTAAACAAAAAATGTCTTATTCAAATTATTACGATATCACTTAATTTCATATTATAGACTATGTAAATGAGGATATTTCGAAGATGTAAATTTTAAAGGAAGGATATATATTTGAGATTTTGTGGATATAATATACTTTTGAATTTTTGAAAAGAATTCTTTTTTATTTTTTTTAGCTTTAATTTTTCATAATTATTTTTACTATAATCTTTTTATAATGTTAATAAATATATTTTACTTTATAATTTATTATTTTATATTTAATGGAAATGAATAAAGGAATCCATAAATTATGTTTCTAACATTTTGTTTCAATCTTCATACCCTTCATTATGAACTATTATCTTTTTTATTTAGATTCAACTATGTTTTTTATCTTCTACAATGGTGTTCAAGCTTTCAATTTCACAAAATTAATAAAATTTATAACATAATATGTACTAATTGTAAGGAATGGAATCTAGATCAGTAATTGTATATGATAAAATAATATAACTGAAAAATATATTAAAGTTTATAAATTTTTTTAAATATATCGTATAAAAGAACATAGTTTAATATCAAAAAATATATAAAACTAATTTGAATATTATAAATAGACAATTTAATGATAATTGTTATTATATAAATTTTTTTTTTTTAATTTAAATCTATTATAATTGTTACATTCTAGAACCAACAAACCTCTCTCTACAAGATGGTCTCAGACCTGACGGTTTAACCTGCATCCCATGGTCCAATGGGAAATCCCTAATTTGGGACGCTACCTGTGTCTCTTCCTTTCCCTCATCAATTAATTCAAATCCTCTTACTAATGGCGAAAATAAAAAAATCAATAAATACTCAATATTAAATAATTTTATTTTTCAACCCATAGTCATCTCAACTAATGGTAATTTGTCCCAATCAACATATTCATTTTTAAAAATTTTAGCACGTAAAATTTTTAACATAACAAACGAAAAACGCGAGTCAATCTTCCTAAAACAAAAAATACAATTAGAAATTTTTAAACATAATTATACATGTTTTTTAGGTACATTTTTACTATAAGCTCTTTTTAGAGCCATCGATATTCCCATAATTTATATTTTATTATGTAATAATATAACACTAATAAATGTAGATATTATACTCTTTTATATATTATGTACATTTACAATAAATTAAGTATAAAAACAAAATGTTTATCTACGATTTATCTAATAAAATTACAAAACGTAAATTTTATATAAAATGCAAGTTAAACTATATTATAAATGATATATTTACACAATGGAAATAAATGAGATCGGTATCGAAATAATACGATTTTAATTAATATTTCATTTATCTCAAGAGATTTTGCATGTGTCTAAAGTGTTTTTCGCGCTATCTAAATCTTTAAGATAGTTATTATAATTCTCACTATTAAAACGAACGTTCTTATCATACTCATCTGTAGTTTTCAAAGAGGCTTTAGCCCGGTAGAGTTCTTCGTCAATTTCTGCTATACTTTCGAGTCCGAACTTCGTCTCTGGCGAGGTTAATGTGCTACTTATAACATCAGCTGATAAATCAAGAGGACAGGAATAAGTGTAACTGGAAGACAATTCTATGTTATCGTTAGCTTTGGAGAAAAAAGTATTGGAATCATTCGTAATTTTCTTCCTTTTCTTCGGTAATAAACGTAAAAAAAAATTTCTCCGATTTTTTGATTCGACGAACCGATTATTACTCTCTAATTTTCCTGATATTTCAGCCGTTTCTTCCTTGAGTGAAGTTTTAAAATTCGCTCTGTAAAGGTTGATCATCATATCATCAGATTTTTGAGAAATGGAAGGCATAAAATAGGAGGAAGAAAATTGGCAATAATCCCGAAAATCAGAAATAGAAGATCCAGAAGAACAAGTACTGCAAATAGATTTAGAGGTGACATGTTTGTGGCGCCCTTTGCCTCTGTGGAAATTTAATGGGTATAAAAAATAAAATAAAACGATTAAATATATTTTAATGGAAAATTAAAGGTATTTTAATAAAAATTAAACGCGATGTTTGGGTACTAGTTTACCTTCGATATTTAAAATTTTATAGCTTATTAAATCAATTTAATAAATGATAATTATCCAAACTTCTTTATTTTGGAAATATCCTTATCATCGATAATTTGATCTATCGATGATGTACACGAACTATCGTCAATATCGTGAACTGTAACTGTTTTCAAATCAACGGAGCCACTTTCGTCTGAATCTAAAAATAATTATTTCTATTATTTGAAATCACAAAGAAAGAAATTAATGTATTGTATTGGTCAAAAATTAATTCTAACAGCTCTACCTAATTAAATGACCAGCGATAAATTTTATCAGTTTGCTTTAAAATAAAAGTTTTTTTTTTAAAAAAATACGGTTATAATGTATCACGTACCAAAATAATAAATATTGTTAATTGCATATTTTATATAATTTCTGAGAGGCCAGACAAATTTTTCAAATTTATTTTAAACCTAAGATTGAATAAATAAATATTATAATTATTAAAAACATTTCTATATTTAAATAAAATATAATATAACCTTCGATATTATTATCATTTACTGATTCCAAAAGGGGATTGTCCATGGAATATTTGGCGTCGATATGGCTGGCGTAAGAGTCTCCAGAACCTTTAATGCGATTATAATAATCGCTGCAATGATGATTATCGCATTCGTTACCAAATTTGGTGGTGTCTGCAATAAAATGGCGTGTTTGGTAGGAGTTGATAAGATCAGAATGATTACTAAGACTTTCGCTATCGTAATAGTCTAAAACTAATCCCTCAAATTTTTTCCCAAGGTTGGCAATATTTTTATCCCTTAAATCGCGAATACTTTCGTATATATTACATGGCTCAGTCATGGGTATTTTTTTATTAGTGATATAATTTTCGGTTTCGTGGCAATTTTGGCATAAGAGTAGCCGAGTATCTTTGAGATCGCTGTTAGTATTATTAGAGAGGTTGTAACCTGTTAGTTGGTCCCCTTGATACAATGATGTGTAGCACGATGAACAAGAAAAATGTTGCAGATGCCAGAAAAAGCCACCTTTCGTTTTAATGGCTTCGGTCGAAAATATCAACTGAGGGAGGGGGGAGAAATCAAATAATTAAAAAATTGGATGTTTAAATAACGAGTTTTGTTTTTATATATATTGCCTTTTCTTTTTTTTCATATTTTTTTTATATTGACCGAATAATTTTATTGCATTTAACTCATTATAAATTACAAAATAATGCCTATTATATAAATCATATATGGTCTGAAATTTAAAGAACACTTCAAAAAAATGCTTTAATTCGACAAATGTCATATCCAATATCTGAAAAACAAACAATTCTTTTATGCTAGGATAAGATTTTTTAAGAAACATAAGGCTTAAGGTCGCATTTATAGTGGGATCGAATACGATTTACATCTGGTCGATTTTGAAAATCTGTTTATGAAATAATGCGCTGTTAAATCTTGTCGGATCTGATCCCATTATGAATCTGGCCTGGTAAAATAATCGGCGGCTTGGCACGCGATGACTAAAATAATGAAGGCCGGCAAGTGTGCTTTTTGGCCGCCGTCATCAAAGAACATATTTTTTTAAAGAAACACTAAAAATAATTAAATAAGAATAAAATATACACCTATAATACTGTATTTTATGCTTTATTCTAATAATAAATTCAAATTCAATTTTGAGTTATCATATCATGTATAAAATTATTTTATTCAAATTTATGAAACATATGAATAATCTCCTCAAATTCAACATTAATCAAAGGATAGAGATAGTCATTCCACTAGGTGTGCTAGTTGCTGGAATATTTAAAAAAAAATTGGGTTAGAATGGAATCCGGAGATTCGATTATATTTTTTTCTCTAAAAATGTTAAAACGTCTAGGCCCTCCTTTTTTCAAAAAATTCATTTATAGTAGAATCATAATTTGTGTTTGTCATTGAATGTATACTTGCTAACTTTGTTAGTGTTGTAGTTTTTTATACATATATTGTATTTGATAAAATGATTTATTTCAAAGACCTGCAGGCCCCGCCCTAAGCCCGGCCTATGACGGGCCGTATTTTATTTTTTTTATATATATACCCGGGCCGGGCCTGAAATTTTTTTATATATATACCCGGGCCGGGCCTGAAATTTTTTTTTAAAAAAAAAAAATCCGGGCCGGGCCGTATATTTTAAAACTAAATATTTGAAATCACCATTATTAGCTATAAAAATCAAAAATAAATAAAATATATTTTTAAAAAATCCGGGATGAGCCGAAAATAATATTTGAAAAAAATCCGAGCCGGGCCGTATAAATGGTACCTCTGCAGGTCTCTGATTTATTTTAACAAATGTATTAATTTCGAAAGAGCGGATTGATTATATTTATTAGATTAAAAAGAAATTGTAAGTTTTATTCGTGAATCTTATATTTTAATTAATTTTAAAAAGAATAAAAAGAGAATCATAGTAAATTCTTTAATAGATATCGCCATCAGAGACGATACTCCTAAATCTAGAAAAAAATTTTCATGGTTTCTCTGATGAATTCTAGAAGAATTTTCTTATCTGTTTTTTTTACAATTACAAAAGGTAGATCACTAGTATTTAGGGCTGTACCGATAAATATCGGATCGGGCCGATACCTGTAAAAACCGATCGGATCTTTTTACTTTTCTTTTTTTTGTTATTTTATTTTATGTTATGTATATTTATTTTACATTATTGTAATATTTTCTGCATTTAACTTAATTTTATAAATTTCAGGTTTATTTTTATTATATAGCGAACTTTAATTCATTTAAGAGACATCCGGTGCAAATTTTTTTGGAAGAAAGTGATAGTACTGTATTTATATTTGTACTGGTATATATTTTATTTAATCAAGTTTATTTCTAGGTTTGCTCACATTCTAATTAATGGTAAAATTAATATAGCCAATATATCCATCCCATAATCAAATTTTTTATTTAATCGGGCATGGGCTTTTTACCTCTCTTTTTATTTTCCCATGGGCGTTTAAGTAAGGGGCTTTGCCTCTTGCGCGCACAGGTAACTGCGGCCTGCCCAAAAAACGTGGATGGTCCTCTTATTTATTTAATTATTTCCCATTCTTTTATCCCAATTAGATGAACTCTTATGAGAGAACCAAGCGTTGCTCTGTTATATATATATCTTTGATATATATATGACATTTTAGGGCTGGTGCGCTTAATATCACGTATCACGTAATATTTTCTAAATAATTTTTTTAAATTTTATTTCTTTTTTAAAATAGATTTATAGTATTTTAAAAGTTTTTTTTATAAAAATAGAAAGGAACACCCAAAGTTTTATTTATTTAAATCTTTTTAAATACGCCAATTTTTTTATTTATACTTTAAATAAAAGAATTTTTTTAACTATGGTATCTGAATTATGGAAATATTTTACAAAAGACAAAGATAATTTTGCAAAATGCGTTATCTGCGGGATCATCTGAGTCTGCTTTCAGTAAGGCAGGATATATAATATAGATAGTCCATATCGTAGAAGCTTATTCCCAGAAAATCTAGAGGCTCTCATATTTATTAAAAAATCTAATATATTATAATTTTATATATTAAATATTACAATTTTATAATTCATACCAACATAAAATGGATATATTATTAAATATATATTTTTTTATTATAGTCTTAATTGTAGAAATAAAAAAATTAAATTAAATTCATAATTCGATTTTTTGCATAAAAAATATTGATTTCTTAATTACATTTGGTTCAAACGGAGATGATTAAAAATCAGTAAAAATATCGGATCGGGTTTAAAGCAATATCTGAAAATACCGGAACGAATCGGATCGGAGAAAAATATGTGGATCGGCACAGCCCTACTAGTATTTTATATATTAGCCTGGCTTTCATTCTTTGCATTTAATAATAATTTTATAATCATTCTTTAAGTCGTCTAATATGTTTTATAAATGTTCTATTATATACTTTGAAACAATGTTAAAATTTAGATAATTATAACAGGTTGAAAACAAAGTGTCTTTATGGCGTGCTTCAATTAAAGACGATATTGAGTCAATAAATTAGATTGTAAATGATTTCTATTTATATTTCAGGAAGAGTCATAGCGAAAAGCAGGTAATCTATTAATAGTTTTTCCATCGTTAAAAAAATGCATTTACCATTTGTTTTTACCTTACATTTTAAGATTTTAAAAAATCTAATAAGTTTCTTTAATAAACGAGGTTTTTTTCAAAGCAGATTTTTATTTTATACCTCTTTTACAAAGCACTTCTCTGATAAGCTATGGACTGATCTGTATTCAATTAATAAACCTCCAAAAGTTTGGCTATCTCATGAGAAGGTATTCAATGATTAGTCTTGATATAGCGTTCAAGTTTGTACCCTCCAAGGTGACCTATAATTTGCAAATGCCTTTTAATAATTCAGTGGACATAAAAGAGAGATAGTCTGATCCTCCCTTCCCCCTCGATTTTTCCCAAAGAAAATTCTTTTGAATGTCAACTGCAGGAATTTGTTTATTTGGCACCACATAGGAAGGAGGAAATTCAAAAATTTCAATTAAAATATTATTTAGAATAGAACAATAGCGGATTTGAAGTCTGGCGTTCTTCTATTATTTAAGTATTCCCATTATTTTTTTACATTATATTGTCAAAAATGAATTATCGTATATTTTTATTTTCAAAATATAATTTATCATGAGAATATTTTTTTAAAAAAAAGTATTTATTTCAACAATAATCTTCGAAATTTAAAAATGATTTCAGTTCCATTTATTTAGTGCAAATAATATATAAATACCGCAACGATACTCGTACTTGGTATCGGTTATACTTGCAACTAATCATAACCGAATGATCTAGAAATTAAAAATACTGATGGTAACGGCTAGTGTTGCAAAATCGTTCAATTTGAGCCGATTTTTAAAAATGGGGAACTCAATATTTTAGCTAGAAAAATATTACATAAGCCTCGATATTTCGCTAACAGATGTTCAAACCATTGTGCCAAATATGGGCAAAAGTTCAGACTCGCGATAATACTAGTAATGGCTATAATATTTAATCCATATAAATTAAAAGGTACCGGTGGTAGCAGCTTAAATAAAGTCGTAATCACCAATAAATAGGAAATTTTAAGTAAAATAACTTGATCGCAGCTTTCACATCTAGGCTTGTACAACTCGGCGAAATGCCTCCCGCAATATAAATTTAAACGGTCGTCAAAATAAAATATGGAAAGATAACTAAGAGACGCTTTACACTCGACACACGAGAAGCAGCGCTGATGGTAAAACAAGGGAATTATAAGAGATTCATTTGGAGAACTCTGATCAGGCGAAAAAGATGTATCGTCAATGAGAGCGGGTACAAACGTGGCAACAATTTTTTCCTGTTTTTCGTTGTCGAGAGATAAGGGTTGATTACACTAATAAATAAATAAAATAGAGAAAATTTTGGTTATATAATATTAATTTGTTGACAAATTTTTGTATCCTATTCCCAGGCCCTATAGTGGCTTGAACCGAATGGGGACAAGACTAAGGTGGTTACTAATTTCCAGACCTGAATTGGTTGTTTAGGTTTTGAGTAGGGGTGTACCGATACCACTTTTTGGAGGCCGATCCGATATTCCAGATATTAAATTGATATCGGCCGATAACCGATGCGATATTATATCTAATTTTGTATTCTGTAAAGATAACAATGGTTTTAATTTTTAATATACTTTTTATTAGTATAACATCTATTATTTTACCAGGGATGCGAACCCGGCAAAATTTTTGCCCGGGTTCGGTTCGGGTGCGTTTTAAGGTTAAAAAAATAGGCGGGTTCGGTTCAGGGAAATATTTTTGTACCCGGATTTAGTCCCGGGTTCAGCTCGGGTTTAAGAATTTTTAAATTGATAAAAAAAATATTCTATATTTAAATCATAATTAAAAAACTAGACATAAATTTGGTATAAAAAATAAATTTTTTATTTTATATAAAGGCAAAATATAGTTAAAAATATTAAGCAAAGTTATGTATAGATTTAAAAATTTTTATTTAGACGTATTTCTTTAAATTAACAATATCCAATATAATAATTTTTACCTTGACTTGTTCACTTTTATTTTCCTCTAATTAATAATCTTTGACAATAAGTTAAAAATTAAAAATAAATGGCGTAAATGAATTTAATTGTTTAATAATTTATTAACAATCCAATAGGAATCTTTGAGAATAAATTTAAAAAAATTTAAAAATGGAGTAAATGAATAAAGTTGTTTAAAATTTATTAACATTTCACTTAATTGGAAATTTGAAAATATTATAAAATGTCAAGTAAATTATTAATATTTGTATTTACAATTATACAAATATCTTTTATTAATTTAAACAATACACTGAACCCTTAAAATTCCCGGGTTCGGTTCAGGGTTTTGAAAATTTTATAAACGGGGTTCAGGTTCGGTTCGGGTTCAAATTTTTTCCCGAAACCCGGGTTTTCTTTTCCGGGTTCGGGTTTGGTTCGAATCCCTGAATTTTACTATACCATAACATATGTCATTTAAATATATTATAATGATCAGTTATAGTTTATATTCAATTCAATTGCAATTCTATAAGTATATAAATATTTTTATTGATAAATTACTTATTTATATAATGAATAATAACATTAATCTATTTAAATAATTAATAATAAACAAATATATTATTAAATTTGAAATTAATATTTAAAATTAATATATCTAAGATTTCTTTTTAGAAATACCAAAATTTCCAATTTATCAGAGATCAGTCTGTGGCGAAGGGGACTGTCAATATCACTAGCATCACTAAAAACAGATTCTGAAGATTATTGAACACTTTTTTAAACAGTGAAAAAAAATAAATATATGGCAGAATTAGTGTTGTTAAACGGCTCGTTTTGAGCCAATTTTTAAAAACGGCTAACTCAATATTTTAGCCAGAAAAATATTGCTTAAGCCTCGAGATTTAGTTAATAGATGTCTAAACCTTTGTCTTCTACAAACAAAATCTTAAGGCTTGCGTAATATTATTCTAGATGAAATATTGAGTTAGCCAAGGCAGAATGTTTATTAACAAAAAATTAAACATAAATGGATTTCGATTTCATTTATAAAATTAAATGGTTTTTTAGACATACCTTTTTCTAAAAAAATTTATAATATTTTATTTTTGTTAAAACGCCATTTTTTATCGGATCGGGTCGAAAATTTTATAATATTTGCCAATAACCGATATTTTAAAATCCGATATTTTAAAATGGGTGAACTGACCCGATCCGATATAAAATATCAGTACATCCCTAGTTTTGAGGACTTCTTTTAAATAAATAAAACAATTCTTAGTTTATTGGAAATATGTAGCCCACAATGTTTTTTCCAAATGCATTTATTTTAAGTAATATCAGATTATATGATTTTTTTTAAAAATATTTACATTTGCTTATTAATTTTTTATTATGCAGACAGAATTTAACGATTACCATAATTTAATCATCACTATTATTAGTAATCTTGTTCTACTTCTAATATAATATCATTAATTGTTTTCATTTAGTTTGAGATCTTAAATACAAGAAGCTTTCAAAAAGATATAAGCATCTGCTGCTAAACCCTGTTTATATGCTTCTTAAAAATTTGAGACATGGGCCATGCTGGCTGGATGGGGCCAAATGTTTTTGATTTTGCAAATCTAAAAATTAGTCAATCCTGCAAGCACTACCCAGAACCTAACTAATAATGTTTTGAAAATCCAGTAGTACAATAAAATAAAAATGGCAACACAGGTAAAGAAAAAATCTTCTTTTTTTTTACAATATCTAAGCTAGGCTAATTAGGTTATTTTTATATGCTAAATAATCATTTGGAAATTTTGTTTACTGCTCATATTTTCAATTTCCCTTTAAAGGAATTTATAAATTATTTAAAAAAATTTGGGTCAGAGTATAAAATAGTTTCCAGTTCTAAATCGGTTTGAAAATTTAGATTATATTTTGTAGAAAATTTAAAATTTATTAATAGATGCTGGAAAAGTATTCACTTGTATTTAAATTAAGTTTTTTTTAAAAATGAGGGAAATATCATTTTTAAAAATCCACTCAAATCAAGCTGTTAAACGAACATAGACCTGGCCTAAATAGTTTTTATAAATTTGGTCTAGGGAAAAAAAATACAAACTGAGCTAGCTTTACCTTTGTAGGTCTCTCCTCTACATCAAATACAAACAAGAAACTTAAATCTTAGGGGTTAAAATAATGATTTTCTAAAAAGTTCTCCATATCTTTTTAAATATTTTCTTCACCTGACATTTTTAAGTTTTTCTGCATTTCATAATATATTAATAATTAATTTTTAGAATATATTTGTAATTTTATATCCACTTTAGCAACGTAATGTTTGTAATTTTTAATACCCTCCTAATATATAAATATTTAATCCTGAATAATTTACACAACAAGAATATGTATACATTATTTACTTTATCACATTTAGAATTATTTGACTTCTCAATACTATCAATTATTATTCCACAGCCTAAACGATTATTGTTCCTCCAAGTATTAAAATATATAAAGTCGTCTTTATCTTCCTCAGATAGAAATGAGATGAACTCTAGAAAATGATCCTGCAATGGAAAATTAAAAAATGTCATCAAACATAATCATGAAATGAATAGATGGCATTAATATGTTGAAAATATAAAACCCTAAATAGATATATATTTTGATAAATATGGGAAATTTAGGGAAATAAAATATAAAGTGAAAACTCAAATATTAAATAAATAAAAATTTATTGTTAAAAAATTAATGATCGAAAAATTCTAATTTTTTTTCAAATTATCTAATTTTATATAATTATATTTTAGGTATAGATTATCTTATAATGTTCATTATGAAAGCTACCAAAAACATAGGTTGTTACACTATTAATCATAAGCTAGATCTAAATGGGTAGGTCTAATTATTGGCGGGATTTAATAATAGCTCAACTTAAACCAATTATTCATAATTAATTTATAAAATTTCATTCATTCATTCATTACCACGCCAGAAATTGCACGAAGTGCAATTTCATCACCCACCAGGAGTAGTAGTGTGCACCATGTATATTCACTAGTATATAGATCCTATACACATGATGTATACCCGTTTTATTATAGTGGACGGTACCACTATGTAGTCAGCTAGCATAGTAAAGAAGAGAGGAGTAAGAAAGAGGGGATCTATTAGTTCCGTTACCGGCAATATAGTGTTAAGAATTGTAGCTAATATTAATAATAATAATGTACCTGACACCTGGTTAGATTTAAGAGATGGGGAAAAAAAAAATTTCTTAATGTTTGGTAAGTATATCCTTGGAAGATAACGCAATGTCTATAGAATCCATGTTATTCACTATTATCATTATTATATTGAGCCTGGAGATCGTTATCATTATCAATATTCACGGTTTTAAGATTATCATTGACTTCGTCAAAAATCATAATTCCTATTGCGCCAGAACATAAGTTGTCATTAGACTGGGGATAAGAGATTGGAAATAAGGCAGTGTGAGGAATAGTCTGATACGTCCACGATTCCTGCTCTAGTTTAAACCATATTTAAGCATGTATTGCAGATGTTCCTTTAAATGTTTCTTGTTTTTGCTGCTGAGTGCAAGAAAATCTATAAACGTAAGATTGATCAAGTCCATGTCCTTCAGACATTTTGCCAGCCAATAGTATTTGGGGATTCTTCGCCTTCCATAATCCGGGGTCCACTCCATGGACGAAAATATCATATTATCTCGTGAATGTCTTAAGCAGTGGCCGAGTAATTCTAATCTCCTCAAAGGAATGAGTCTCTTGATAGGTAGGATGTCGCACCTGTTCCAGAGAGTTGTGTTTGGGGTGTTGTATGGATAGTAAGTTTTAGTGATTCTTCTTAAGCACTTGTTTATGAAGGTCTGGGATGTGTTGATGTTGCTTTTAGTGTCCTGCCATGTTTCCAGCCCGTATGTTAAGATGGGTAGATTTAGGGATTTAAAGAGTCTTATTTTTAGGTTCGTAGATATCTGGTTGGACGACCATAGTTTAGTTAGCTGATGATATCGGGATCTGGCCTTGTTGGTCCTCGACTTAGTATCCAAAATGGTGGTGCCTAATGACATTATTCTGGTTCCTAGCTAGGTACTTAAAATCCGAGACCGTATCTACCACATTATCAAAGTTAAAGGGGTCGCTGTTATATAGAGGGATATTGGATACAATTAACTTTGTCTTTGAGTAGTTGACTTTCAGTCCGTATCCAAAGCAATTTTTGACAAACAATGACAGCAAGTTTCTTAATTTGTACTCAGAGTTAGCTAATATGCATACATCATCGGCATAGCATAGAAAATTTAGAGAGTTGTGTATGTTATTATCATATTGTTGATTCAGATATCGAGGGTTAAGAGCATATTCTTGTTTAAAGGATTTATTCAGAATATCGTTCATTATTACATTAAATAGCATAGGTGATAAAATGCATCCTTGTTTCAGCCCTCTGTTGGCCTTAAATGGTTGTGATTTTAAGTTCAGATGTTGTGGTATCACGATTATCGTATATTATTTTTATAAGCGAAATCAGATGTTTATCTATTCCTATGTCCTCCAGTAAGGGCCAGATCTTATGCTGTATGATGGAGTCAAAGGCTTTGACTTAGATCAATCATTAGGGCAAATATTTGGGACTTATGCATTCTAGCTTTCTCCAGAATAACCTTAAGCGCCATGGTTAGTTCCGTCGTGTTCCTGCCCTTCCTATATGATGTGATGGCGTTTGAGAGGTTTCCATCGATGATTGGTTTAATCCTGGCGGCTATAATATACGTGAACATTTTTAGGGTAACTGGGATCAGTGCAATTCCTCTGTAGTCCTTCAGGCTAGTCGGGTTCTTATTTTTAGGGAAATTAAGTATTATCGATGTCATCCATTCCTCTGGGAAATTGCCAGTATTCCATATCTCATTAAAGAGGGGAAGCAGTAGACTAGCACTTAAATCAGCATCTATCTTCCAAAGTTCCGCAAAAATCCCATCGATTCCGGCTGCTTTATGGGTTTTTAGTCTTTTAATGGCATTGATTATATCTATTCTGTTCAGGTTCCGATTAGGTGGTTGGAAAGGATAGTCACATAATGGTTTAGGCCACCTTGTTCTGTAAAGGTTCATATGTAATGGTCTGTCCATATCGCTAATTGTTCCCTGGGGTCCGTTATAATTTTATTATTTTCAATGTGTAATCTTGGTAGAGGATTGGATTTAAAGGTAGTGAGTAACTTAAGAGATTGGAAAGCCTTGTAAATATTATCGTTGTCAAAGCTATATTGTATGGATCTAGATAAGTTGGCAATAAAATATCTTTTATCTGTTCTTATGCAGTGAGTTATGTACCTTCTGTGGTGTTTAGTATATTGGTTATAGGAGATATTTGTTGTTAAGTTTTTAATTATCTGTATTGTTGAAGGGGATAGCCATTCTTTACGCTTAATTCGTGGTCTTAAGCATGAATTCATACAGCTTGATAAACTCAGTTTCATATCCTTCCAAGTTATATTAGGATTGATCATGCCATTTTGGGTGTTTCTCCATGTTGTTAGATTGGTGATGAACTCTTCCTTTATAACGGGATTATTCAGCTGTGCCAAGTCTTTCCTCATTATGAAGTGTGTAGAGTTAAGATGGGCTATGTTGATTTCGGTTTGGAAAAATGGTATTTTTTATCCTTAGCTCGCATCCTAGTGGGTAATGGTCCGTAAATAAGGTGAAGTTCAGTTTGCTGATGACTTTGATGTCCTTCACCCACTTAAATATATTGTTGGAAATTACAAAGAAATCAATTTGTGAGGTAGTGCCAAAAGATGGGCTTTTGTAGGTCATGGTGTGATGGTTAGGATGATTGAAGAAGGTATTTCCTATTTTCAAATTGAAGTGTTCACAGATTTCTATTAGTTTTTTGCCATTAGTGTTCGTACTTTGTACTAGAGTGGCGTTCCCGAGGCAGGTAGAATTGTTAGGCTTCCCAACCGAGGCATTGAAATCGCCAGCTAATATGATACTATCTTGATGAGGTAGTTCTTTTAAGATATTTTCCAGCTCTATGTAAAAAACTTTATTATTATGTGGTGAATAAATATTGAAAAGGTGAATTTTCTTGTAACCAATATTTAAGGTAAGACAGCAAATGCGACTGGAAATTTGGATTAAAGCTTACATATTTAATTAGTTTGTTATGGATTAAGATTGCTACACCTACCCAAACATGTTCAGCATTCGAGCTGCAGTATAAGGTGTATTCTAAGAGATTTCTTACTTCCGTTTCTTTCAAGTGAGTTTCTTGTAGAAGGAGGATGTCGTATCGTTGATCGTTTATAGTTTGCCTAAGAATTGTGAGTTTGTCACTTAGCGATCTTATATTTAAGGAAATCATCCTAATACTATGGTCTTTCATTGTATATAAAAAAATATTTCTATGATTATCGTGCGATTAGAGTTCGCCTTATAAGAATTAAGAATGTGCACGGGTTATTAGAACAAAAATTATACGGTAAATTATTTAATTGAGAAATATGTCTGCTTTTTTAAGTAATGTATTGAGATATATATTTTTTGTAGGCGAAAGAGTTTTTTGTGAGTTTTATTTTTCCTTCTCCCTATCATGTTGATTGTAATTAATTTTTCTATTTAATTTATTTATTTATTTTTTTATTAATATTTTATCTTTTTATTCGGAGAGTGTAGGATAAGTATAAAGAATAAAATAGGAGTTCCGGAGAGATATTAGAAAAATTAAAAATCAGGAAGGAAAATATAATAGTGTTACTTTCAGAGATCAAAGGAAATTAATATTTGTTTAAATATAATTTTTCACGTCAAGATATTTAAAATTGCTAACTATAATTGTTTCCCTAGCATCTTCTGACAATGTTTCTATCATTAATAACCATATTTTTAGAAAAATGTGTTCAAAAGATAATTGACGATATTGTAAAAGGGGAGGGCAATGCACTCCGTTTACCTATATATCTTACGAAAATTAAATCTTTTATAAAATAAATTTGGGTGAAAGTGACAAAAAGAAAAAATTATGGAGAGAAAAATAAATAAGCGAAATCTTATAAAATTTCAAAATAAAATATTTTTTTTACCTCTCACCCATCCTATCATATTATTATTAATGAAATTTATAATATATAAAATATATTAATATAATCTTTCGACGGTTAGGTTCTTAAAATATTTTACAAAATCCATATCTTCAGAAAACAATGAAATTTTGTTAAATCATATGGTATAATACGCTATACCTGTTAGTATTTCTCTTTTAATTTAATCAAATATTTACCATCATTATATATGATGGGTTCTGAATTTAAAGAGTAGTTATTTATAAATTAACACCTTAAATCCATATTTTATAGTTCAGATGATGAAGAAATTATGGCCAAATGTGTTAGAGATTCTGAAGAATTTTGTGATAAAGATAGATTTGCTAGGTATTTTATTATAGTTTATTAAATTCAACTTAAAATCTAAAGAGAAAACCACAGCGAAATTGAACGCAGAAGACGTAATAAAATGACAGCATATATTGCAGAGCTATCAGATATGGTTCCAGCTTGCAATTCTCTGGCACGCAAACCAGATAAATTAACAATATTAAGGATGGCAGTGGCTCATATGAAATCATTAAGAGGTTTTTCTTGTATAAGAAATTAAAAATATTATATTATGTAGGGTCATCAAATTTAACAAATGATTCATCCTACAAACCCTCGTTTTTAACTGATCAGGAATTAAAACATCTTTTATTAGAAGTACTCACAATTTAATGGGAAATTTTTATCACTGTTTTTTAGGCAGCAGATGGATTTTTATTTGTAATTCATTGTGATTCAGGCATGGTAATATATGCATCTGATACAATAGTATCTGTTTTGGGCCATCGACAAGTATGAATAAACTATTATATATATATATACACCAATATTCTGGATCCATTTTTTGGTTATTAAAAGAATAACATTTTTATAATAGTTTTTTAAATATAAAATTAGGAAATATTTTTACTAATTATATATATCAGAGATTTGCAAATATACTGATTGCATGGCCCACACTGAGTTTGTAAAAAATATATTTGACCTGGCCCAGGCTGGGTATATAAATATATTAAAATGTTTTTAAAAAAATAATTCAACTCAGGGAAAATATATCAATTTTGTGGTTCTTTTCCAGGTAACATGAATTCATTTAATGCCAAAGTAAAAAAGTAAATTTTGGCAAAATGTATATTATTTTGTAATATATTTTTGATAACTAATTTATTTACCTAGTACATTAAAGTAAATAAGGACAAATTAAAAAGATTTGGCTGGTTATATTGTAAGTTATTTTCTAATCATTTATGAAATTCATAAAAATAACCTATAATATTATATAGATTTGATTATTATATAATATTATAATTGTTTAAATAATAACTATTTTTTCTTTCTTACTGTTTATTTTATTTTTGATTATAAATAAAATATTTGATCTCCTAAATTAATTAACAAGAGATATAAATGGTTTTGAAAGGGAAATTATAAATATGACAAGTGAAGAAATATGTGATATATTATTAATACAATTTTTAATTACATAATATATTTTTTTTATTATATTATAATAGTCAAGTTTTAAAATATTCAGCCCAGTTTGAGGTTATTTAAAAAAATTTATGCACGCTGATACTTGGGTCAGGCTTTAGTCCACCTGCAGGTCCTGTCTAATCTTCTTTTCTTGGCATTGCCTGGATAAGCTAATTTCCCCTCTGATCCCCTTTCTCCACTTATTACTGGCGTCACTATTTGCAAGACCCATTGTTTCCATGTCACCCTTTATCATCTTCCACATCTTCATTAGTCTTCCTCAAGGCCTTGTTCCCATTACTTCCAACGAAATGCATATTTATACCAAATCATGCATCTTTTGTTCAATGTATCCAAACCACCACAGTGTATTTCTTCTCATCATCATTCCAATTTCTTCTATGCCAATTCTTTCCATCAATTCGATGCTTGTTTTTATCTCATAGATGCCCCACATATCTATCTGACCTTTCTCTTTTTTTTCTTGCCAATACACTGCTCATTGCAATGGACATAGCTTTATATAAACCTTTTCCTTCAGCTTCAGAGAGATATATTCCTGTCATTTAGAATAGACAATATTTCTTGAAACTTCTTCCATGTATATTTTACCCTTGCAGCAACAACAGCAGGTGCAACACCTTCACCTGTTCAGCTTGTCACCCAAATAACAAAACTTTCCTGCTTTTTCTAGAGGAGCTCCATCGATATTTAAATTATTTTTTTCTAAATTATCCTTACCATGAACCCCTTTCACCAATGTTCTACAAGCAAAAGCTACTTTCATTTTATCAAATTTCCTTTCTCAGCATGTCACCCAAATAACAAAACTTTCCTGCTTTTTCTAGAGGAGCTCCATCGATATTAAATAATCTTTTTCTACATTATCATTACCATGAACCCCTTTCACCAATGTTCTACAAGCATAGGCTATTCTTCCTTTTATCAAACTTCCATTCTCACGACTACCTCCTTTATGTGCACATGTCTAGCTCGAATTCCTTTCAGCACATTTCCTGAACACAACAAATGGTCACGTGCCCATTTCTTTATTATTTCTTGATCATTCGACTCCAATCAACCTTAGTCTTTCCTGCTTTCAGTTTTAACCCTTATGCTTCGAAAAGCGTCTTTCATGTATTATCTTTCCTTCAACTCTGTTTCCCTTGTTGCCAGCATTACAAGATCGTCAGCATATATTAGTTCCCAAGGTAGTCCTTCACAGATCTCTCTCATCATCACCTCCATTACCATGACAAATAATAATGGGCTCAAGTCTGATCCTTTAGCCCCACCTTTAACCAAAGCTCTCGCTATCATCACTATGAGTCCTAATAACCGTTCGGGCATCCTCGTACTTTGTCATCACCCTCCGCACCTAATTTTCTCTACAAAAACGTAATAAAGCCCTTTTTATTCTCCTGATACTTTTCTCTCTGATATATATATATATGGTGAATTTCATATCAATTCAACCAAAAAAGCCGATTTTCAACCCGACCTCTCAGAATTTTTTTAAATTTTATATATTGGTAATATATGCTATGACTAAGAAAAAAAATAAAAATTTTACTTATTACTACTTACTCGCTAAGATATGGGGTTTATAGACGGAAAAATGGTGCCTTCATTAATTTCCAAATATCTCAAAAATAAATTATTTAAATTTTATTATATAGCTTAATAATGGATTTTTAATATGATATATAAATAAATGTGATAGAAACCCGATTAATACCTAAAACCGGAAATTGCCATAAAAAGGTATTTTTTTAAATTTTTTTCTGTAGATGTATACTAGAATGCTTTATATTTATTCGAAATCCTAGATTGGGATGAACGTGGGTTTAGGAGTTATGACCCTTATGGCTAAAATTGATCAAATTTAACAATATAATCTTATTTAAATTTAAATGAATACTTACATTTCTTGTTGTACTTCTGGTTTTGGGTATTAATCGGGGTTTTCATTTATTTATATGTCATATTAAAGATCCATTATTAAGCTATATAATAAAATTTAAATTATTGCTCTAACTTAATTTATCTGGAGATATTTAAAAATGAATGAAGATCATTTTGTCAAAAATTTACCATTTTTTTGCTTTTTACTCTCTATCTTAGCGAGTAAGTGGTAGAATGAAGTAAAAATTTCCTTTTTTTCTTACCTATAGCATATGAAAATTTTGAGGGGGTCGAGTTGAAATCTTGGTTGAATTGATATGGAATTCACCATATATATGATATGTATATGATCTAAGATCTAGTCCATGTCTGGATCCTTTGTCTTCAAATTTGGCTGGTTCTTTTAAAATACCACCAAAAATGAAGATTTAAAAATCAAAACAACGTTACAACCCTAATTTCGACATTAAAAAGAGCTACAAACAAATATATGAATCAAGGAACAAATGAGCCAAAAATTGAATTTATACTTCGTTTTATAATGTTTATATTATTATAATTTAGATTGTAATTCGTAATCCTAAAATCAAATCTTTTTAAATTACCAATTACTTTTATTTATACTCAACTTTAATTACAAGTTTTTCCCTTCACGTAATTGATAAAAATTACCAAAAAAGTAATAGAATTTCGTATTTTTAATTGCATAATTAATCAATCACTGCCAATCCCCCCTCCCTTATTGTTTGTGTAAATTGTTATTAAATATTTCATGAGGCCTGAATTTTTATTTTCCCTAATTTCGAGCCCAGCTCAATTTTCGTTTTTTTTAACAGCCAGCCTTGTTAAAATTTCATTATTTTATTTTATATAATGCGAGCTCTATTTTATAAATTATCTCAAATGCAAATTGAAAATTTTGACAATAAAAGTATATGAATGTTAAATGATGCCTTTCCATCTGATTAATTAATATATATTTAAATCTATTATTAAAAAAATTTAAATATTTAAAAGCCTGACTTGAGTTCAGATCAGATTTTTAAAAATTATGGCATTTTATTACCTAACCAGATTACGAGCTGTGCCAACAGATCTCTGTTAAATAAATATTCACCTTCATTCTCGAAAATAGGAAGAATCATGGAAATCAATTTTTTTCAGAGTTTAACATTTACTTAAAAATAAAAAATCGCCAAAGATTTTGATCTCTGAAATGATTTTTTCATAATGCCTAAAACGTTTTGATTAAATTTCACTAGAATTCCAAATTTTTTTGGTTAAAATCTTTTATAAGCAAATCTTTTGTGATATTTATACACCAAAATTCTTTCATGATGTAATCACATACTTTTTTCTTAAAAAATTGATCTTTAAAAAATTTTTCAATTTTAACGATTTTCAAAGATTTTGGGCAAAAGTTTCTTTGAGACTATAAGTCCTATTAGCATTCCAACGACACTACTTATTTACAACGGTCCATACTAACACGATTACCCAATCCCAACCTAACCCTTTAAGAATTTTGACTTCCGAGAAACCGTATTTTGTGGCATCACCATTTTGATATTTTTAAAAAATAATTTGGAAATCATTTATTGATTTTATTTTGTCACCCCCCCCCCCCCTCCCATCCTTTCCTCCCACCTTCCTTCCACCAATAAAAATTATAATATATTTGATCATCAAAAATATTTTATTACATTTTTTGGTATAATATGTTATTTTATCGTTTTACCATAAATTTTTTTTTATACGACCAATAATTATGGATTAACAATTATTTTTTTAAAAAATAATTAATTTTATTACGAATTTTTTTATACTCTCCCTAGTCATTTATTACAACTACAACTAATATATATATTTTTGGCCTAATTATTGAGCTTATTTTTTTTTTAAAAAGAGACTAAAAATATACTTCTCCCTTTTTAAATTTTTAGTTATTCATCCATCCCTTTTTTAAAATAAATTATGGTTTTTTTAAACATCTTTTTATTATCCACCAGGAAAATGTAAAATAATTTTGTAAATTTTAATACAGGCGTATAAAAATTTTTTTTAAGGTTTCTTTTTTTAGATATGTAACCTAACTCAGTGGAACAGTAGCTTTTTGAAAATAAAATACTTTATTTTAAGACGAGTTGGACATTCACGTTTTTGTCCATTCCTAGAGATGGCGATGATCTAGCCATGGCATCATCTTTATATTCTGACCTTTTTCTCCCCTAATTTATTTCTATTTTTTTTTCTATGTCCAAAGCTGATTTTATTATTTTTATAATTGCGATAATACATTTTAGTTGCGTATGTCTTTATAATTTTTAAAAATTAAATCAGCTTTGGGCAGTGGATTTATAAGGGTATTTTTTCTAAAGATATGAGAAATTGGTTGTTTTTAAGTTCATTTATTA